TATATGTATATATATATATATATATATACGTATATATATATATATATATATATACATATACAGTATATATATACACGTATATATATATATATATACACATATGTATATATACTTTTTAAGTCATGTATCATGCATAGGAACGTTGACGCCTGCAAGGCTCTGGTTCTGTCATTGGTTCACAAAACTGTTTAAGCCTACCTCACCAGAATGTATGATTTTGTCTGCAGTACTCGCTAAACTACATAACCATATGCTTTCATTTCTTCTTTATTTCTTCTCCCTCTGACATTCAATGTCGTCTTCATCTAGGTGTCTAACTGAGCCATTCGATATTATAGACTGAAGCAATGTTGGCCAAGGACACTTTGAAGAATAAACTGATTCGGTGATGGGCGTGGGAATCCAAACCATTCTCTTGTACTGTAGAATGAACTAACAAGGAACAAGGTCTGGAAGTTTGTAAACCGAGGCCTATTACCCAGTAAACTAATGACAGCATACACATTCCTCTTTTTCTGTCATCGGTTCACAAAAACTTTTTAAGCCTACCCACCAGAATGTATGATTTTATCTACAGTACTCGCTAAACTACATAGCCATATGCTTTCGTTGTTTCTTTATCTCTTCTCCCTCTGACATTCAATGTTGTCTTCATCTAGGTCTACAGCTGTCTAACTGAGCCATTCGATATTATAGACTGAAGCAATGTTGGCCAAGGACACATTGAAGAATAAACCGATTCAGTGATGGGCGTGGGAAACCAAACCATTCTCACTGCTCCAAAGTGCTTTTAATTAAATGGAAAACATGTTACATTTTAATATAATACATAAAAAATACATATTCATGTTCAAGCTTTAACTTTGTTTGTGAAATATATACAAAACAATGTTGGTTTGGTTGTTGATGAACCTGGTTTATTTTAGTGTTTGTAGATACGGAAGATCCTGTATTCACAATTTGTCCCAGTAATATTAGCATGTCAACAGCACCAGGAAATTCAAGTAATACTGCAACATGGAACGAACCAGAAGTTACTGATAATAATGGGGCACCAAATGTTACAAGAACTAATGGTTTGCCTTCTGGTTCAAATTTTGAGTCTGGTACAACACATATACGATATGAGGCAACTGATAGTGCTGGCAATGTGGCCACCTGTGAATTCACTGTTAATATTATTGGTAAGTCAAAATACAGTACTTCATTCAAACACACTCACAATAATTAGGCTAGGAGCTTAGGACATTGTACCATGTAAATTCTGTGGGATAGTGGTATTAAGTAGCTAATATTTAAAAATCTTGATTTAAATCAATTAGAGTATTAAATTAAAGTAATAAAATATTAGTAATGGATTCGAATCCTGCCTGAGACACTTGTCATACAAATGAAAAACCTTTCAGTGAAGGGCTGTGTTTGGTACATCAAATGTACCTATTCAAGATTATAGAAACTTGCCTTGGCAGCTAGGGATTACAGGTTACTAATTAGTTAGTAATAATAATCAAATCTGTTCCTTTGTAGATGATGAAAGCCCAGTATTTTCTGACTGCCCTGATTCAATAACAAACAATACCATACCAGGTGCTGTTAATGCAATCATCCAGTGGACTGCACCAACTCCGACTGATAATGTTGGTCTAACAGAAGTTGATGGTGGACAACTTTATATTTGTAACTATAACCCAGGATCCCTGTTTGGCATTGGGTCAACAGTGGTTACATGCACAGCAAAAGATGAGTCTAACAATACGGGGACTTGTGAATTTAATGTCCAAATTATTGGTATGTGTATGTAGTATAGTGAAAAATAGGGCCCCCGTGACCATTTTTCGGGGACCAAGGTTTCTCTGCTGATTTGACATCACTAGGGTATAAATAAAAAAATGAGCAGGAAGGAGAAAAAGGGCGGAACATGTTTTTTGGCGGTCTATATGTAATTAGGATCACGGAATTCAATGAGACATGTTTCAGAAACCTAGGATGGCAGCCATTTTGAAATTCAAGATGGCTGCTATAAAAGTTTTCAAAAAATGAAATATTTCAGTATAATTCCACGTCTCCTCTATGAAAAATGGGAAATTTGGGTCTAATCATGTTTTTTAGGGTCTGAATCCAATAGTTTCAAAAAGCTGGGATGGCAGCCATTTTGAAATTCAAGATGGCTGCCACAGAAACTGTAAAAAATCAAAATACATTGGTGTGTAATTCCAATTTGCCTAAATCAAAAATGGTAAATTTGGTGTCTAATTATTTATTATTGTGCCCTCACAGCTCAATAAACATGGCTTCAAAAGCTAAGATGGCAGACAATTTGAAATTCAAAATGGCTACCACAAAAACTGTCAAAAATCTGATATATTGGTATGTAATTCCACTTCTCAATCAAACATGTTAAATTGAAAATCGAAAATTTTGTTATGTAATTCCATTTCTCCTCAATAAAAAAATTGCAAATTTGGTGTCTAATCATGTTATTGTGCCCTCTGAGTTCAATAAACATGGTTTCAAAAAGATAG